GCTCAGGAGGCAGCTGCTGCCACTGCTAATTCAGTGGCTCTCAAGACCTGCTGGGTTTTGGGGTTTGCTGGGGCTGGGGCTGTGTTGGTGCAGCCTGTGCTATACTATGTTCCGCTCTTATCCAAACACAACAGACCTTTCCTGCCAATCTTCTAAGTTGTCTTTGGCTGAAAAATTATTTCACCCTGTCCTTTTGTAGGTTCTGCTGCTTCAGAAATTGTTTTATGGCATTATTTAAAGGCATTTGAAGGGGTTTGGGGAAAAGCCCAGGTGAATGGTTGCCTTTTCCCTGCCATCTTGGCTCTGCCCAAGAATGTCTTGTTTTGTGACTTAACTATTTCATGTGACCCTTGCCTCTCAGGCTACACTGTGAGCTCCCCAAGAGACCAGGCTCCCATTGGCCAGCTTAGCATTGGACATGCCACCAGCACTCAGTAAAAAGGCAAGGTGAAAGCTATTTGTCCTTATGGGGGAGTGGGGAGATGCCTAGAGATCAGGCTTAGAGATCTCTGGGTCTCCCCTCTCCCTCCTTCTCTCCCCTAGGGGGTCTGGTATGTCTCACCATGAGAGCCAACTCTTCAAATCTGCCTTACAAAGAGGCCTTGGAAGGCAGAGCCGGCAAGACTGGAGCAGGCTGGGGAATGGAAGCAAATTCTAGTCCACACTGTGGTGGGAACAGGCCACATCAGAGCAAGAGGCTGCAGGCTCTGGGAAGCAACAATGGCTTCATCCCTGGAGTTCTCTACCTCTATTGTAAACAGGAAGCTACCCCAGCCAATGCCATTGGGATCTAATGGGCTACAAGCAGAAGACTGTGGGCCACTGGTCAGCTGTGTGGCCTCACACAAGTCACATGATGCCTAGCACATAGTAGGCACTTAACAAATACTGATTGATGCCTCAACTTGATTTTTCTCATCTGTAAAATGAGGGACAAATCAATCCTGCTCTGGTCCCTCAGAGATGGTCTGCAGATACAATGAATTAAAAGAGGGAAACAGTTTGAAAAATTAGCAGTTAAAAAAATAAAGAAAAGTTAGCGGCATGTAAATTTGAGACCCAATTGTTACTTATTTTTTAAAATAAAAGTTAAATCAGTGTCTACCCCCTGGATTCTAGTCCCAGGTCTGCCACTGACTTAGCTGTGTGATCTTGGACAAGTCCTTTCCCTTCCTGAACTACAGTTTCCTCTTCCTGGAAAACAGTGGGCAATGGGATTGGGCCGAACAGTCCCTAACTTGTCTCTAGTTTTTGAGAGCTTGTGGTTCTATGGTCTTGCTAAGCCCAGGTCCTACCCATCAAATCCATCACAGCATTATGCAATGGACATGGTATGTGGTATAATTTGAGGGCGGTCCCACCATTTCTCAAATCTCTCCCCCACCACCTGTCACTGGCACCTGAAATTCCACCATTAAAGGGTTTGTGTGGAGGGGGGAGTGCTCAGAGTTATCCACAGACTCATAGATTTAGAGCTAGAAAGGACTTGAGAAGCCACCTAATCCAACTCCCTCATTTTACAGATGAGGAAACTGAGGCTCAGAGGGGTTGTGAACTACCCAAAGTTACCCAGATAAAATGTGACCAGGATTTGAACCCAGGTCCTCTGACTCCAAATCCCAGCGCATCAATTCCACTCATTCTGCAGTTCCATTCATTCTGAGTCTAAGAGAAGGGAATTGACATGCCCCAAGCCATGGAGGATTTGAACCTTAAATCACCTCACTCCAAATTCAGCATTATTTCTACTTCACCCTACTGATCCTATCTCATTAAATGACTCAGTTTTATAAATAAGCAAACATACCTTCTGTAGATCAAATAAATCATCTATCTCAAACCCATCTATGACTATTGTCCAAATGTGTGTAGCTGCTACTGCCATTAAAGTGAGAATTAAGAAGCATTACTGACTTCACAGAAGTCTTTTGTCATTCGGGATTTTCTCCTCCAGTGGATAATAATAGGACAACTACTCTCATGTGAGATCCGTGCAATTATTTTAATGTTGGAAGGATGGAGAGAAGAGGGTTAGGAAATTCACTAGGTTAAGGCATTGATTTTATGAAGGAGGGAGGGGAAAAAGGAGAGGCAGGAGGCAGCAAGTGATGGTAGCCTGGGAGAAGGGGAGGCGGTGGAGGTCAGACCCACAGGACTTGGCAACTTGTAGGAAGCCCGGGGGGGGGGGGGTACAAGGAGTTCTGCCAAGAATGCTTTATGCCCCCTCCAAGTCCTCCCACCCATCAACCCCTCACCTCTAGCCCCTTCTTGATCTCCTGGCCAAGATGGATTTCTCTGAGTTGTTCTATTTCAGAAGTCATTACCAACCCCTCCAGGCAAAACATTCCAGGTTGGGGGTAAGGGGAGAGGTTACAACTGAAGGTGCACCAGAGGCCTGGGGTGGGGGACAAGTTGGAAGACTCTCCTTCCTGGGTGGGACTGGATTCCTGAAGGTAACACTCACCTTCTCCCCCCCACCACCACCTTCATCCCCAGCCCCATGCCGGCTAATGAAGCCCTGGTGATTCAGACCCATTCATCCAAAGAGAGAGGGGCGGGGCAGGGACAAGCTGCTAGAGCCAGCTAGAATGACCGATGAATACTCCCCAGAGCCTGCTGGGACTCCAAAGGCAGCCTGCCAACCCCTGGGACCAGGCTTATCTCATTACTCAGGATGGGTGAATTCAAAGGCATAGACAGCTTATTCACCCTAGGTTAGCATTTCTCCCTCCCTGTGCGCCCCTGTGGAAAACCTCAACCAGGGCCAGGGGCTTGGCCTGGACAGCTCCTGCCTTCTGCAAGCTGACTAATGGATTGCTCAGATGCCAGTAAGACAAGACAAAACACAGACGACTTTTTGTATATTTTTTTAATGAGCGATTATGTCCACACAGTTTGTATGTTATTCAATAAACTCAGTTAGCTTAGTTCCAGGTGGGTGTGGCTGTCTCTGTTCCTTAATCTCCTGAATCCAACACACCCCTTCCATCCCTGACACAGAGTTTCTATTCTTGTCAAAATCTTGAGCCCTGAGCTCCTTCACACTGACCCTGCAACCCGACACTGTATGTGTTCGTTCTTTCTCTCTCTCTCTCTCTCTCTCTCTCTCTCTCTCTCTCTCTCTCTCTCTCTCTCTCTCTCTCTCTCTCTCTCTCTCATTCCTGGTGCTTAGTACTCTTCCCAATACTGAGCCTGACACCTCGACACAAAGTTTCTTTCCCCAGGACTGAGCTCCCATCTAGCACTGAGCCCCCATTCCTAAGTCCTCCATCCCAGGAGGCACAGACCTTTTCATTACTTTCCATTGAAGATATCCAGGGGTCCATAGAAATCCTCAAACACATTCATAAAGCCCTGCCCCCCTCACCGTACCTACCCTCATTCCTGCTATTAACCTGTGACCTGTGGCCACACCTGACACACTTGGTCCTATGATGGCTATAGCTACAGTTCAAGAGTACGGAGAATAGGCCTGATGGGACTTGATGGTTTCTAAGGTCTCTTCAAGGTAAAACCAACCAACCAACCTATGATTCTATAACTCAATGAAGGCAGAATTTGAAGAGTTCACCACCACCACCACCACCACAACCACCCCCAGGATAATGGAATATGTGTTTGGAAGAAACTGGGAGAGAGCCCATGTCCAGCAGGCTCTTTCCTAGAATACCTGGAACCCTAGACTCCAATCCCAAATCTAGTTTATTTTTGTTATCCCAGACAGCTGAGATTCAGGTTTTCTTACTAGGCCCCCAAGTACTTCCTCCTTCTCCTAACTCTTCTTCTCTCACCCTCAACCTCCACCTCCACCCCATCCCTTCCACCCTAAAATTGAAATCAGAGAGCCGAGGCAATGCTATCATGTACAGACCCAGTTTATTGTAGAAAATAATAATTACAATGTATGGATATTTTTAATTACAACCAGAAACATTATCCTAGGCAGAAAGCTGCCCAAAACCATGGGGGGAGGGGGGAAACAGAGAAATGCCTCTTCATCTGCACTCCCTACTCCCCAACCCACCCAAATCCTTTGGAGGAGCCAAGTCTTAGCTCCTCAGGATCATCTTCTCCAGGGCTCTGCCCTGCCCTGCTCCCCCCACATTCTAAAGTTGAGTTGCCCTGAGGTGGGAGGGAGCAAGTCACTTAGGGTTCTGGGGAGGGGGAGGTTCAGGGAGACCAGGGATTCTGGAAAGTCCCCTCCCCATTTGTTTGTCCTGAGAACTTTGCAAACAGGAAAATGGGAGAGGGCAGGGAGGAGACAAGGTGAGCCACCACCCCCCTTTGGGCCTACCTCACTCACCCACCTCCCAAACCAGTTGGCCCACTTTGGGGCTGTTGTCACTAGGGCAGAGATGGGAGACGGGCTGGGCCACCTGAACTATCCCCTGCCTATCCATGATGCTGAGTTTCAGTGAGCTGCTGGGGTGAGTGGGCGGGCTCCCTGCTTCCTTAGAGAGGGCCCCTCAGGGACACCTTTACTTCTAGAGGAAACCGCAGTACAAAAGGTGAACCCCGATAGATTAGGGGGGAAAGGAGGAGAGATGGGGACCACGGAGCATACATACAGGATTGGAAATGGGTTTGAGGACGTGCCCATTTGAGGGTACACACACACACACACACACACACACACACACACACACACACACAAACACACAAACACACACACACACTCCAGGAGGGCGGGAGGAAACCAGCCAGCACTGGCTCTGTGACATTGAGCCCCTGGCTAAAGGACCAAGCCCGCTCAGGCAGCTCAACAGTCCAGGTCTCTTCCTTCTCTGTTTCTGGGAGCCCCCAGGCAGTGGGATGGGATCTCAGCCAACTCCACCAACAATTCTTCCTCTTTCTCTTTCTGGGAAACTGCAGGACCAGCTTCAGTGTACCAGAAAGGCAGGGCCCTGCTCCTGCCCCCAGCCCACTCCCACTGAGTTTCTCAGAAGAGAAAGCCCTAGGTTTCCAGGCACCCCCAGAAGGAGTCAGGTGAGGGTGTTTTTGAGAGAAGGGAGGATCTGGAGAGGGCACTCCAGCTAGAACAGGTAGCATCCCCCTGGCATTGTGTGCTTGCTGATTCCAACAGGCACCAACCCACCCTTACCCTCCCACCCACCCAGACTCCAGGCACAGGGAGACATTAGGGGCTTGGGCCAGGTTCTCTGTCCAGGGAAGAGTTCAGTCTCTGCCAAGCACTAGGGCCCAAATGGTCAGGGAGAACTGAAGAGAAAAGGATGTGTCCAGCCTGGGTACAGGTAAGGAGGTGGGGGCGAGGAAGGACACCCACAGCAGGCTTCACTGTCCCTTTTCCCTTCTGTCCATTGTCCTCCCCATACTCCCTACACGTAGTTGCTGGTGGGGGCAGAGCGGGCAGCAGTGTACTTAGCTGAGTAGGACTTCTCACTCCGGGGTGGGCAGTTGCAGCACAGCAGAGCCCCTCCGAGCATAAGCAGGCCTGAGGCAGCCCAGCCAATGTACAGAGAGGCACCCATCTCCCTCTTCTGTCCAGAGGCCACCAGAGGATTGTAGAAGTCCCGGATAATGTTGTGGGCAGTCCAGGAGGTGGGAATGATGACCAGGATGCCAGCCAGGATAAAGACAATGCCAGCCACGATCATGGTCTTGGCCTTGGAGGTCTCATCCTCCACACAGTTGGTACACTTGCCACCCACCAGGGCCAGAAGGACGCCGAGTGCTGCCACGATGATGCAGATGACCACTAGGGCCCTGGCAGCCTGCAGGTCCTGGGGCAGGGCCAACAACGAGTCATACACCTTGCATTGCATCTGGCCCGTGCTCTGGACCACGCAGTTCATCCATAGACCCTCCCAGATGGTCTGGGCAGTCACGATGTTGCTGCCAATGAAGGCTGTCACCCGCCACATGGGCAGCGCGCAGGACAGCATGGAAGCCAGCCAGCCCAGCACGGCCAGGGCAATGCCCATTATCTGGAGCCCCATGGACCCCATCCCCTCAGCCTGAGACGGAGCCGAAAACCAAGAGAAGCAAGAAACGCTAGAGCTGAGCACCCGGAGAGGCTGGGGTTCAAGATCTCAGCTTCAAGTTCTTTAGGGAGGGAAGTCCAGGTGAGGAGGGAGCTCTGAATGGTCACTTTCCAAAATAAGGCAGATAAAGGCAAGACTTTCCTCCTCGCAGGTGCAACTGATGAAGCTTCCCGCCAGATGTTAGGGAGTTATAAGGCTTGAGGGCGTGGCAAGGGGGAGGGAGGAGGAGGCGGGGTTTCGACCTGGGCCTCCATCTGACTAGTTTCTCCGGATTCCTGCCAGGGTAACCAGCAACAAAGACACTTTCAGTCCCCTGGGAGGAGACTGGGGCCCTGACTCACCCAGCCTGACATTCTGGAGAGTGAGTCTCAGAGGAAACTCAACTCTCCCTTTAAAGTCTCAGAGTGCTGGGGTCAGATCAGAGGCAGACAGGTCTGAGTCAGCCCCCCCCAATAAGAAGGGTGACTCCCCAAGGGCAGGAGGGAGCCAGGGGCCCCAGGGCCTGGGAGGCTGGTCCTGGGGGAACCTCAGTGTAGCTTTTCCCCTGGATCGAACAGCTCTCTCCCACCTAGGCTGGGGAGAGGAGACCTGAGAGTATGCTAAGGTGGGGTGTGGAAATCCTCCAGGGGAAGGAGGCTGCTACTGTTGCTGTCAGCCTGATTTTAAATAGCAATAACAAAGATAATTAGTATTATCATCATTACTGGCAGGTGTTGATAGGCATCAGCATCCTCCTAGCTGGCCTCAGCACTTACCCTGCACAATCTCATCCTGTAGAGCCTAGGGCTGGATGTCCAGAACTGGGGCCAGTCCCTTCAACCCATTAATGGACCGGCCCCCCCCACACACATCTTTCAAAAGAGTGCGAATTGAATGAATCCCTCTGATCCTCCATTACACTTTCTCTTCTTAAAAAGGCGGAGTGTCTAAAAAGTATCCCTTACTAAAAGGGGGGGGGGAGAGATAGAGTCTCTTTCAGGAGCATTTCCTCTGTTTCTCCTGAGGATATTGAACAGTCTGTCCACAAATCTAAAAATGGAAGGGTCGTTGGAGACCATCTAGTACTACTCCTTTGTTTTACAGATGAGGAAACCGAAGCTCAAAAGGGAACACAGTTTGCCCAAGATGAGACAGGTAGGAAGCAAAGGAGCTAGAGAGGAAGCATTGTGCAATAGAAAGTTCTGACATTAGAGTCAGAAGATCTGGGTTCTAATTCTGGCCCTACCAGAGGGGTGGTAGAGAGGACCAGCCTAACCGTCTGCAGGACAGAAACTTGGCTGTCTGTGCTGCTCCTTGTTATCTGTGCCACCTTGAGCAAGGCTCTTAATCTCACTGTGCTTCGGTTTCCTCATCTGTAAAATGATAGATTTGGACCAGATATCTTCAAAGTTCTCTTCCAGCTTTAAGTCTATGAAGAAGACATCATTAACAGGATTCACAGTGGTCCTTACCCCCACAGAGATCTTGGTGTGCTAAGGGGAAGTGGGCAATTACTCAAATAACTAGATGAAGTAGGAGAAGTAGTGATGAATGATGTAGTCATAAGTGCCTTCAGAGACCCAAGCAGATATTAGAGGAGGTCAGTAAAGGAAAGAGATCTCCACTGGGGATGGGGATGAAGGGATGAGAGAAGGCTTCCTGGAGGAGGTGGCCTCGGAGCTGGACCCTGAAGATTATTGCTAGAGGTGGAGCGGGAGGACCCCTTGGGAGAGAAGCAAAAATACCAAGATAGGGACTAGAGGGGTGTGCCCCAGGCATAGGGAGGAATCCATTATAGCACACAGGATAAAGTGTGGGGGAGTTCGATGAGATAAGGCTGGTGCCAGCCTGGGGAATTTGGATTCCTCATTGCTTTAGGGAGATTAATCTGGAGGCAACAAAGAGGCTGGATTGGAGGAGGGAAAGACTAGTGGTTGGGAAACCAATTAGGAAGTTTCTGCAATAGGCCAGATGGGAGGTAATGAGGGCCTGGATGTGGGTGTTGGCAGTGGGAACAGAAAGGAGAGGATAGAAGTGATAAACATTGGTAGGTGGGGAAATGGATGGGCTTTGCTGCTGCCTGGTTGAATCAGTCAAGGAGTCCAGGAAGGGGGATGTCTGAGAAGGAAGGAAGGAAGGAAGGAAGGAAGGAAGGAAGGAAGGAAGGAAGGAAGGAAGGAAGGAAGGAAGGAAGGAAGGAAGGAAGGGAGGGAGGGACAGAACAAGGAAGGGAGGAAGAAACTCAGGAATCCTCATGATGAACTCAGAGGAAGAGCTTTATGTAGGTTTCACATCCAGCTGTTGAGAGTTATGGCCAGATGTTTAGGGGCAAAAGAAAGAAGAGCCAGTAAGCAGTTCCATGGGCAAGTTCCTGCTGACCCTGGAGAGAATAAAAAAGTCTCTGGGTAAAGGGACTTTTATTTTTATGTCTGTATTCACAGGTCCTAATACATAGCAGGCACCTAATAAATACTTGTTGACTGTTGCCTGAGGAAGGTCCCCACCCACCTAAGGGGGGAGGGGGTCCCCAGGCTTTATCAGCTACCCCTCTCCCTGCCCTACCAAGAATGGTGGGTGGTGCAGTAGGAAAAGAGCTGATTTTGGAAAAGCTGGGATCTGGGTTCAAGTTCAAATGCTTACTACCTGTGACCTCGGCCAAGTGATGTTGCTTCTCAGGTCTTGGTTTCGTCATCTGTAAAAAGAGAGGAGTGGACAAGCTAGTCCTTTCCAACGCTAGGTCTGTGAATCTAAGATCCTTCTCTGAAGAAGTTTGCAGACCCTGGGGGTCAGGGCAAAGGCAGTTCCCAGTAAGCGGGTGATTAACTCAGGCTGTCTCCATACCAGCCAAACCTGCAACAACTATTTGGAAGAACCTGTTCTGCCAAAGCGACCAAGGAGATGGAGCAAAGATGACTGTGGCCTGACCTCCAGCCAAGCTGACCCAGCCACACCCATTGGAGCCAGCTCCTGAGAACAGGACTATAGGGTGGTGCCCCACCCCCCAGCAGGGCCTATACTTCCCCATGTAAGATTCCCCCAAAGGTCCCCCAGCCCCCCCTTCACCTTTCCCAACCTCTAAAACCCTCTCTTAGCCCTACAAACCATGCCCATGGCCTCCCTCCCAAACCCCTCAAGTCAATTCTTCCCCCAACCCACAGAATCCCCTCCTCCTCGATGGACCAATGTTCCTTCACAGAAATTCTCTTTCTTAAAAGCCCCTTCTTCTAAAAGAAAATCTCCTTATCACTCCTCCCTCCGAAACTCCCCCCCAAGGGGGCAGCTAGGTGATGAATTGGATAGAGCACCAACCCTGGATTCAGGAGGAGCTGAGTTCAAATCCAGCCTCAGACATATAACACTTGCTAGCTGTGTGACCCCGGGCAAGTCACTTAACCCCATTGCCTAACCAAAAACAAACAAACAAAGAAACAAAACTCCCCACCAAAAAAAAAAAACACCAACAAAAAACACCGTCATGGTCCCACATGCAAAAAATATATAAGAAATATATTAATAAGAAATGGCTTTGGGGGGCAACTAGGTGGCTCAGTGGATAGAACACTGGCCCTGGAGTCAGGAGGACCTGAGTTCAAATCTGGCCTCAAACACTTACTAGCTGTGTGACCCTGGGCAAGTCACTTAACTCCAATTGCCTAAAAAGAAAAATGGCCCAGTGTCCAGTCGCAGCCCTTTGCAATCTCTCCAAATCTCTTCTAGTCTCTCTCTTCACTGCCCCTTCCTAAAGATAACTGCTCTTCTGTCCATTTATTTATTCATTCATTCAACAGACATTGTTGAATGACTTTATTGAATTTTCAACAGACATAATCAGAACCTAGTATGTAGCAGGAATAGTGCTAGTTGATAGGGATACAATTTTTTCAAAAAGAATAGAAACAAAACCTGCCCTCAAGAAGATTACACTCTACTCAAGAATAAATTAAATACATACATACATACATAAATACATACATACATACATGCATACCAATTTTTTTTAAAAAAAAAGGTAGCTAGGGAGGAGAGGCTCTGGCAGCTGGACAGTCTCAGGACAGGACTCATATAAGAGCTAACACTTTGATCTGAACTCTTGAAGGAAGCCAGGGAGTCCTGATTCAGAGCTGGAAGGGAACTCAGAGGCTACCTAGGTCACTGCCATCATTCTGCAGATGTGGTAACTGAGGCCTAGGAAAGTAAGGGGACTTGCCCCCTAGGTTTACAAGGGAGTCAGCTTCAGGGGGTAGAATCTGAATCTGGCTCCCTCACTCTTAAGCCAGTGTTCTTTCCCACTTACCTCTCTGCCTCCTACAAGCTGGATTCCTGCATTCTTGCCTGCATTCCTGAAGTCCAGTCTTCCCTATCAGGGGAGCCCATGCCATCCATCCGGTGCCCACACAGGGCTTCTGCACACGAAGAAGACATTCCATTGTATACACACACTTGGTTTAGTCACCCTGATTGGCCAGTTGCTCCCTGTAGTTACTCTCATTTCCCATCCTCCACAGCCCCCTCTGCTAGGTACTGGCCCAGGGAATTACAGTCCCATCACCCTTCTTCCCAAGGAAAATCCTCTTCTGATTTTTCTGTGTCTTCTCCTTGGTCCTAAAACCCATCTCTTTTCATGGGACCGCAGACTTTGAGATGGAATGGACCTAAGATGTCACACCTCCAGGGTTCTCAACTTGGGATCTGTGAGCTTTTTTAAAAAATACTTTAATAATTCTATTTCAACATAATTGGTTTTCTTGGCTCTTTTACGTTTTGTTTGATCAATGTGAAAACAGTTTTCTGAGAAGAAATTCATAGGTACCGCCAAACAGGGCCATGACCCAGAAAAGTTAAAGAACTCTCATGAATCTAACCCAACCCTTTATTTTTGGATGAGCAATCTTTGGCCCAAGTTCACACAGCTAGCAAATGACCAAGGCAGGATTTGAAACCAGATTCTTTGACTTCAAATCTAGTCTTGTTTGCATGATGCCATCCTGCCCCCAGATACAAGTAGCCTGGATGTTTGCACCTTCTTCCTGTCCCACCCTTCTCTTTCAATGTCTCCGTCATATCAAACTTTGGACTATCCTGAGATCTCCTCTTGATATACAGGCACATCCTAAATGCCCCAGCCTCTGGTTATGACATCTGTCCCCTCCCAACCCTAACCCTTACCCCCTATGCTTCCCCCCCTCAGGGCTTCATAAGATGTTTCTGTATTTCAAAGTCAATTTCCTGTGGGTTTCTACAACTTTCTGTCT